TCCTTTGAGAACAGACACAAAACAACTGTACCTTCATGGACCATTCTCTGTGCCCTTAAAGCTAGGAACTGGATTTCTAATATCAGCCTTCTACAGTGCAGATCCCTTGGTTTTCCCCATCCTTACAAACGCACAACTATTATAACTAATAGGGTCAGAGACTAGCGTTTCCTCTAATAGCTCCACAAAATGTATTTAAGAATGGAATGATCTGTATTCTCTGTGTACACCTAGCATCCGTGACTCCAGGACAGTGCTTACAAAACTCTCAGTGTAACTTTAGAAGTGGGAAAAATGTTGAGATTCATAAACATGGGTAAGGAACACATGAATAAATACCAAAATTCTCATTGCCTCAGGGTTACACTCTCAAGGGCTCCCATGAAATCACCCCTAGTGTTAAAACATAGTGAAGATACTTGCCCCCATCTACCTGATTTACAGGTTTCACAGCCCTGGCTGGTAACTTATATACAAAATTTCTTTGAACCTTCAAATTTCACTTGTATTAAGAATTTTGTTGCACAATGTATTTATCATGATAGCAAAATCTATTGTCACCCTTTCAAAAAAAAAGATAAACTAGAAAGAAGGTCATTTGGCTTCACAGGATGTTGAGCCCTGTATGCACACTGCACGTTCAGGTTTATAGCTTGATGGCCTAGACAGGAAAACCGAGAATATTAGGGAATGAATTTCCAAAGATGGGGAACCTTAAATCTAGGATCTGAGAAAGTGATGATCTTGGTCCTAGTTTCTCCTTGCATGAACAAGGAGGAAAGGGAGGACCAAGAGGTGGTGAAACGTGCTGCCAAGGAGTAAGAAGAACACACTGGTTAGGTGTACATGCCACAGGAAGAAAAGCCCAGAGCTGTACATTAGTTACCTCTGAGGGGCCCATTCAAAGCATCATCGAAGACACGGGGAAATGGTCCAGACAAAGGATCTCTGGGTCCAGAGAGAGAGTCAGGGTCAGTAGCCAAACTGTGAAATGGCTTTTCGGGGCTTACATTTCCTCTACCCCAGCATGTCCAGTGTGGATGAGAATCAGCTTCCTCGCTAGCTCCCAGGCACAAGCAGACCTGTTACCACTGCTCTGGAAACTAATAATATGACCAACGTTCAGTCTCTCTGATGTGATGTGCATGAGTTCCGAACTTTCTTTGACACATTGTGGGGAACATATCTTCTGGATCATTTTGGGGGGCGGGTGAGGATTCTAACATAGTTTATTTGTGAAGCAAAACAAGACGAACATAAAAAGTGATTTGTGTTACACAGTCCTGGATATTGACCCTCGGGCTTCACGTTAGTGCTCTACCAATAAGGAAGAGCCAGAGCACCAAGTCCCACCCCTTCCAAACAACATCTGCAATAAGACCATTAAAGCTACAGGGAAAGATTACATATTTGCACCACACTCACACTAGGACCGTGAAATCAAACATCTGGGGCTAATCTAAAGGAGGCACCATGAAGTCAGCAACTATTAAAAGAAATTCTCCAAAAGGGAAGGCAAGAGAAATTAGAAGGCAGAAAAAGAGAGGGAAAGAGGGTGTGGGAGAAATGCTTGAAGCAGGAGAAGCAAGAAAGAGAAACGCACTTGGGAGATCAAATCCCCAAGCGTGTTATTCTCCCTTTAAAAACCAGGAGAGCTGCAACTTAAGATGAACTATCTGGGTCTCAGCTAGAATAATTTGTTGCTCAGTTTCCTCTCCTCTAAAAGAGAAGTCACACACACACACACACACACACACACACACACACACCTCACTTTATCTCCGAACACTGACAAGAACAGCACAAATAACATAATTTTGTTTCAAGTTCATTTACAAATGGAGTTTCTTGCAGCCTTCCCGTCACAGAAACCTGTCAGAGTGTGGTCTTAAACAACAAGTTACTGTACTTCATGCCTGTCACATCTAAGCACGTAGTCTTCCTTCAATGTCATTTTCACATAAGCACCAAGACATGTTATGAATTAGAAAGGGATCAGGATGACAGATATTGAAGAAATCATGATAAGAGATACTGAAATGTTCTGGTTTAAATATACACAGGATCTACTTTAACTAAAACATGGTCTAAATAATGGAAAGGATTGTTCCACGGGAGGGTATACAATGGCTTGACTCAGAAAAGCATCCGCTTTTTCAGTGTGTCCTCTGCAAACCGTGAATTAGTCAGTGCCGGCAAAGCTGAAATGTCTGCACTGCAGTGATACAATGGTTCTGTAAGAAACCTATTTACAATGTGTCAGGCATTGCATTATTCTCTCTCTCTCTCTCTCTCTCTCTCTCTCTCTCTCTCTCTCTCTCTCTTTCTCTCTCCCTCCCTCCTCCCTCCCTCTNCTCTCTCTCTTTCTCTCTCCCTCCCTCCTCCCTCCCTCTTTCTCTCTCTCTCTTTCTCTCTCCCTCTCTCTCTCTCTCTAGGACACACACCACATGCACACACACATGCGCCACACACGCCACACATGCATGTACTGTGTGTGTAAATCCAGCTCACTGAATTTACTGAATTTTCATCCAATCTCTAGGGCAGATTCCACTGTAGTGTCATTTTATAAACAAGGGAATTGAGTAAAAAAAAAGAAAATATCTTGATAGCATAACTAAGTTTCAATCCCAGCATTCTGATGCTAGTGGCCAATTATAAACTATAAATCATGACCATTTAGAGCTATGCTTAAAATGTGAGCACCGTCTACCAATGATAAACAAGCCTAGGGCCAGGACTATAGCAGCATCTCCATTCCACAAGCAGTGGAAGACAACTCCTAGGATTCTCTGGCTGCAATCACAGTGCTGCTAGAGACAGGTGGTTGGCTGAATGCTTAATACTTCCTGTCAAAAGCAGCACCTAGAAATTCAAACCCTCACTTTAATAAATTACATTTCCACGGCACTATTAACAGGGAGAAGCTGCTAAAATCCCAAATGCAGACACAGAAATATAGAAGCCAGTGTAGATTCTGAGATTATAAAAGGTGAGAATCTAAAGCATATGGGCCCTTCCCATGCTGCCTTGACATGACACCTGGGCTGAGCAATGACCTTCACTGGTTCATTTCTTGTGGATGAGAAGGACTATCGTTTATTTGTGCTCAGGCCGAGGGGGACCTTAAAGGTCATCTTTCCTTGTGGCTACATCAAAAATTTGGAAACAGAAAGGTCAGCCCCAAAGCTTGCCATTTTCTTTTTAGACAGTCGGAGACAAAGTGAGAGTCAAAAAGTCTGTGACCAAAGACAAAGGGACCAATATCACCGATAAAGTGAGGTGTGCTCAGTCTCATACTGAAGTCAGGGAGTGAGCACTTAGGGTTGATCAGAAAATAAGGGTTGTTGTATTTTAAGGCATCTAAAATTGGCAAGAGGATGGGCTTTTAAATAAAATCATAATTGAAGGTCACAATAAAAGTCTATTGCCATCTCTCTCCACAAAATAAGGAAAGCAGCATCAACCAACATTTTATCCACTCATTTTCTCATGGAAGCTACATTTTTTAGTTTGTTTTTACTGTTTAAATTCAAAATGGCATGAATAGTTAAATTTAAATCCATGAGAGTTAAAATAAAGCCAAGACTATAATTTTGTAAGATGATTTCACAAAGAAAAGTTCACAAAACACTTACAGTGATTTAAAAAAGATCCAGACATAGATGATTTCCAGTGGAGTCACTTGAGGGTCAGCCGTCCTTATAAACGGAGGGAGGCAGCACCAGACAGTACTTCCTTTTTGTTTTAACTTAGTGTCCCTGATAATAATTTGCGATCATCTACTAAATGAGTGGAATAAGGTTTTTATATAATAATGTCTATAAAATCTTTGACACTCCTTGTATTCCTTCCTCTTGTCCCTCCATTTAAATGGTCATCCAGCAATCAGAAATGATTCCTTCTCCTAAGAGACACTTTATATCTAGTGAATAGCAACCATCCCATTTCCCCTCACCAGCCCCTGGCCATGCTGTGACCGCGCCACTTTGTGTTTCTGCAAGTTGGACAATTTCAAATACTTCATATAAGTGAATCCTGCAGTTTTTGACCTTCCGGGCAGCCTTATCTCACTGGAGAACATTTTCATAGTAACCTCATCAAAAAGGAAAGCTGTAGATCCCTGAAGGCAGGAATGTGTCCAAAGAGCTTATCTTGGATAGAAGAAATGACAGCAAATTATGTTGTGTTGGCTGTTGATATGGCGTGCATGCAAATAGGCATAGCATATTGTAATGGAGATATGCATCTATATATATTTTTCTGCACATACATAACGTTGTTCTGCCACTCTTCCATCTTCCATTGTGTGGTATCATTATTTTTGCTGTGCAGTTCAATGCCATTATTTTCCATTTCAACCCCAGCTGCGTCATTGCTGCTGCCAGAATCTCTGGATTTTTTGGAGAAAATATACAATTTAAAATTGTTTTTTTTTCTTTTTTTTATCAGAAAGGAAAGTCATCAAGACTTAGATTTTATTTTAGGAACAAAGTAAGGTTTCATGGGAGCAAAAAAGAAAGCCTTGGTGTAGAGAAGGTTTGTTCACTTTCTATAGCATTACTGAAGTGTCGTATGCCTTGATAACCCTATCAATGTTTGGATCATCTCAGTGGGGGAAATGCCTTAATTTAACTCTATTTTGCTGTCTCAGCAAAGGTAAGTTGTCGATTTGAGAGCTTTGAGTTGTGGTGGGTTTCTTTTGCTTTGTTTTTTGTTTTGTTTTCTGAACTGGGAAAGTCTATCATTTCTGAACTGGTATGATTGTGAGTAGAATATAGTCTGCTGAGCTAACTTCCTGCCTCAGTTTTCTTAAGTATAAAGGACAGACGGCCAGTGGGTGGAGGAGGTGGTGATGGGAGCTGGCCTTTAGTTATGGACCTGCCTTTAAAAAAAAAAAAAGTAACTTACGTCCATCAAATGGTAGGCAAGAAATACAAGTCAGTGCAGGCTGGTCGTGGCTCCAGGACCCTGACACTCCCTTATTCTGTGATCTCTAGTGTCTGTCTCTCAATGCCATCATGGAAGAGCTGGGAATCTCACTCAAGAATCAGAAAAAATTAAAGAAAAAGTCAAGAACTAAGGGCAAATCTTCCTTCACAAGTATCCTTACCTGCCATCAGAGACGGACTCAGAGAAAAGAGACTGTGGCATGATCTGAGAACACACGTGTAGGCACCGTCCAAGGAGGAGAAGGCCATTCCCACTGCACATACGTGGAGGAAGGATGTTTGACAAGAAAGAGACGTGTTTTCACATGCCTCTATCCGTAGCTCCAGTCATGGACAGAGGGGGAAGAAATGCACAATTTTTAAAGCTCACATAGATATTATTCAGAAGTGAAATTGATTCTTTTCAGATGAATTTGTATGCACACTTATTTTGCATTTTCTCTTCCCCCCCCCAATATATTGCTATGTGTGCTTTCTAAATAATAATAAACACGTGGACTTTGTTTTTCATAACAAGTTTGAGCCTCGGTTTGTTCCCATGTCCTCCCTTCATTCCCAGCACTGGCTGTTGAGTATCACTAGCTATAGAATTTGCTGCTCTGAGTTATATGTGGAGAAACACAGTCATCTGGGCTGAGTTTATATAGCTGTTCTAGTTTAGAGAAGTTACCTGCTTACTATAGAAAGGAAAGCCATTCATCTTTGTGTTCTAAAGTCTAATTTTATACATGATTTAAATAAATACCACTTGAAAATTAGTAAGCATGTTATAAAGAAACGTTTTTTTTTTTTTTTTAGGGAAAGCACATTTAGAAGCTAACTGTTCACCACATTTGTAAGATATCATGCTGCTATCATTTGAGGAAAAACAGATGTGTTCTTTGCCCTCATACAAACAAGGGGAGAATGCCTGTTGCTGGAAGCAGGCTCAGAATGGTGATGTCAGACACTGGACAGGGTGCAGGGACAGTCACCTGGGCCTGGGATGGTAAAGGCTGCCTGTAGGGGAAGCCCAATGACAGAATGAAACTGGCGTCATCAAGCAACACGGGAGTATAAGATGGAGGTCAGAAGGAGCCCAGGCTGGGGAAGCACCGTGTTCAATGGCACTGACCTGACCAAGGTTGCAATGTTAGGTGGAAAAAGGAATCAACTACATTTAAAATGTAAGATGTTTAGAAAGGCAGCACTCAGCCCAGAAGAAGGTAGTTAGCCTCTGGTCCTGCGATGTTCACAGCTCAGATCAGCCAGCCAGGCTCTGCAGACACAGAATCTTTTCAGGAGCTTTCCCTTCACTGCCAGACAAGGCAGCTTCCCTTCAGAAGTCCTGATGCCAAAGAGGGCAGAGCGAGTCTCTGCTTGTTTGCCTCCTTCCACGTAAGAATTCAACCTTGTGACTATAAAGCCTATTACATTATAGACATCTAACTTTAGTCCAAAGCTAAGAATGCCAGCAGACAGCATCTTGAGCCCATAAAGAAACTTCATCTTGCTGCACCTGTGTCTCTGCATCTCCACCCCTGCATTTTAAACTTGCCTTTACTTATGACTTTCTTTGTTTTGTAGAGACTCAAAGTTTTCGTGAACTATTTCCTTGTGGAAGATGGAATTTCCGGTGATGGAAAGCTGTGTTTCAGACCACTGTCCCACAAGAGGCTCTAATGAAGTCTCTGGCTTGGTGGGAGCCTAGCCAGTTTGGATGCTCACCTTCCTAGACCTGGATGGAGGGGGAGGACCTTGGACTTTCCACAGGGCAGGGAACCCTGACTGCTCTTCGGACTGGAGAGGGAGGGGGAGAGGA